CGCTGCTGCTGCTGCTGCTGCTGCTGCTGTTACTGCCGCCGCTGCTGCTGCTGCTGCTGCTGTTACTGCCGCCGCCGCCACTGCCGCTGCTGCTGCCGCCGCCGCCGCCGCCGCTGCTGCTGCTGCGGCTGCTGCTGCTGCTATACTGCTTACAATTCTAGCTGGCTCGCTCGCGTCACCAGACACGGCACGCCGACTGTGTTGGCGGGTCTTCCATAATTTACAGCATAACACTAATCCGGCTTTGAGCACTATTTTAAGATAATTTATCATTATTTATGCTGAATACCAATTTCAACAATATTCATGATGTTGAATTTATCAAATATTTTACAAAATTGACAATGTGTGCATATCTGATCGGGCCGGATGGCATGTGCCGCCTCTAGCGGAGAATAACGACTATTTTACTAGCATAACATTCAACTTTATTAAAAACTTTATTTTAAAAATTAAAAAAATTATAAGTATTAAAAACAATACTTATGTATTTATTTGATTGCTATTAAACACTCAAATTGTGATTCAGCTTTAATAATTCATTAGCTAATGGACAATTAAATATCAATCAGAATATCTTGAACTTTTAATACGTTAAATTGCACGTGTTTTTGTAATTAAAATAACATACGTCATCATTGAGAAATCAATATTTTTTCATGCTAGCAGTTGAACCTCATTAATATTTAACAGCGAAAATAAGTGCCGTAGCATAACATCATGAAAACTCATTCATCTGGAAATAATTCTTTGTAAGCTGGATTAGTGTTGTCGTGTGTATCTACGAGCGCAACAACAGCAGCAGCAGCAGCAGCAGCAGCAGCAGTATAGTAGCAGCAGCAGCAGAGCAGCAGTAGCAGCAGCAACAGTAGCAGCAGCAGCAGCAGCAGCATAAGTAGCAGCAGTAGTAGCAGCCATAGCAGCAGTAGCAGCAGTAGCAGCAGCGGCAGCAGCAGTAGCAGCAGCAGCAGCAGCAGTAGCAGCAGCAGTAGCATCAGTAGCAGCAGTAGCAGCAGCAGCAGCAGCAGCAGTAGCTGCTGGGTGGGTGGGTGGTCGGCTGGTGGACTGTAATTAAGGCTGAGAGGGTCTATGTCCCCCGGGGAACGTACCCTGGGTACTGTCCGGTATACCGGAACGTACCCTGGTACTATCTAATATGCCGGACCATACCTCGCCTACTCCACTAACGAGTCTAGGGAGTCGCCTACGCCTACGCCTACTCCCTAACCCTAACCCTAACCCTAACCCTAATCCTAACCCTAACCCATATCAAATAGTGACCAGGGTACATTCCGGTATACCGGACCGTACCCAGGGTACGTTCAGGCAGTACCCTGGGGGACATAGACCCTATGAGCGTAATTAAGTTGATGTCTTATGTAATAATATGTGATCTATGTAATGTAATGATATCTAATGATGATATATGTGATAAGTAACACACATGGAAAACACCCATGCACCAGCTGCTAGGGACTGCAGTTAAGTTGATGTCTTATGTAATAATATGTGATGTATTGTAATGTAATGATATCTTATATGATATCATATATAATATCTTATTTATGATATCTTATACGATATCTTGATGAGGTTATAATATAATATAATAATTATATGATCAGAAGATGATATACGAATATCAATAGGAGAGAGATGGATACATAGATTAGACATTCATAGTTTATTTCGTGATATATGTGAAAAAATTATGAACGATTTAAATGTTCAAATAAACAAGAAGCATATTAACAGCCAGCGGTATAAAAAAATTTGATTACGCATATGTGGAGAGAAATTCGCATGCTAAATCATAATTGTGGGGCACGGTATTCGTAACTAAATAAGAAATGCGCTGATGAAACATATTCATATACCTGACTACTCACGAGTCTAATGTGCAGACATCTTATTTACATACTTACTTTTTTGCTTATTTACTTTACTCGTTAGCCTGATGTTTTACTAATTGTATCTACTTATCTTTGCAGATCGCTATGATGAGGTGTACACTCACAAATCTACAATGGTGACACTGACTTGCTCTCATTCTCTGCATGGGAAGCTAACAAATGATACTGGAGAGCCAGTAGCAGGCAGTGACAGTAGTACTGGGCAAACTTCTGGCAGTGTGACCGAAGGACTTCGATTAGTCTGGTTCAAAGACGACCAGGAGCTGGCGTTGTCCGACAATATCAAACTAGAAGAAAAGGTACTAAGATGTTTATGAAAAAATTTTGCAAGTTTTATATGTGTAAAATGAAGACCAGTATTTATATATAGATATTGTGAATAATGAAATAAAAATGAAATGGGAGAAAGGCAGAAAATGAAGGCGAGACAAAACGAGAGAGGGATGAAGGAAATGGAAGGTTTTGCCAGTAAAAAAAGTGAGAAAGGAGAGAGAGAGAGAGAGAGACGGAGAGAGGGAGCGGTAGAGAAAGAGGGGAGGAGGAGGAGAAGGAGGAGAAAGTTAGAGGACAGTGCTGTAAGACAGACAGGGTGGTAGAGTGTTAGTGATAAATCGAAAGAGAGACATTGATTAGAATTAATCTCTAAAATTAGAAGCACGTTCTGTATATACGTTGATTCTTAATGTTGCTTCTGCTATCAATATCATGCGGTTTCAGACAGTAGAGGGCAGGCTGGTCAGCCGCCTGTCTCTCCTGCCCACCATGGACACTCACTCTGAAGAGGGGCCGTACGTGTGTGAAGCTCGCAGAGACGGTTACACACGCGTCATTCATGCATACGGAGTCGCCTTCCACACCAATCTCATTGGTAGGTTCCCTGGCCATCTTGATCTCGCTAGTTGTCAGTCGTGTCGACTAGTTTGAATGTGTTTAGACCTTCTGGTAATCATAGAATTAACATGCAGCGGACTAGATGGCCATGGTGGTTTTCAGCCTGCACTCGATGCATTTAAATGCACGAAATAAATTATGCATGTAACTGTTTGTGACTGTTGATTATTATAAATAAATATTCTAGGCCATAGTTTATCTATTTTTGTTTCTAGCTATAACTCTGTAAGGGTAAACTGTGTATATATGGATATTATCAGGAGTGAATAATAAAAGAGAATTATTATTACTATTATTATTTACTCCTGATATTATCAGGTGTACCCTAATTATTGTAGCATTGTTTTACATTGTAACCTTTTACTCAAGATAATGCGTGTATTGTAGACTTGTGGTGTAACATATATGGCGCTAAATGAATGAATTTTTAACTTTTTTAACTTTTCGATCATTGTAGGCCTGAAGGAGGAGCTGGAACTAGCAGAGATTGTTGTTGCTGTCGTTGCTATTGCTCTGTTCTGCCTCACTGCCATCGCTACGACAGTATCTGTCGTATTCGGCATACAGTAAGTAATCTAGCAATAGTAAAGTAGTATATAAGGACATATAATGCTGTCTCACGATCTGCAACACTGCACACTCTCGGATCTGTAGTGGTATCTAGTAACCAGCTCTGTTTGCAAGTTCGCAGAAGAGCTCATGAGAGTTCTGTTGTGACCATCTGAGTGTTCAATTTAGGAAATTCCACTTTCGATCGTTCTGCTAGCTATTCAGCTGGAAAGCTGGAAAAGGCACTGGGGTGAAACTTAAAGGTCTTCTATTTGTCAGCATAGATCAAATCGAACTTGAAAATCGGTAATCGAATAGGGAAAACTAAGCAAGGGATAAATGTGTCTCTATACAGGTTCCCGTGAAAAGAGGTGTTGCTTCATCATTGTTCAGATGTTTGCTCATAATTATATCATATATATATACGCGTATTATATAGTATATACACGCACGCACGCAGACTGAGTGAGAGAGAGAGAGAGAGCACGAGAGAGGGAGAGAGAGAGAGAGAGAGAGAGAAGAGAGAGAAGAGAAGAGAGAGCGAGAC